AGCTTGAAGCATTTGCCGAAAAAACCGATTCCGATAGTGACAAAAATTGCGGGGAACTCTGCAAAAGACGCATCTTCGCACGGGCAGCCCGTGCGTTGGCCAATTTTTATGGTCAGCAAACATGCTTTCAGGATTTGCAATGCTTCTGTTGTGTTAGGTTTATGATAAATTTTGTCAGGTTTTTGTTGTGGAAACAGTAAATGCAGCTGGTGTTGGTGTATTGGTGTTCAGGGTGATGCCCAGTTTGGATGCTGTCACAGGTTGTTGCTTTCTTCGCATTTTATTCAACTTCATTTGCTGTATCCCTGTGTTTCGAATTTCGGTTAGCAAGTGACCATGAAGAGAAAGTGTCTCTTAGAACTGCAATAACAGCATGACCGGGGCTGCAATAACAGCATGACTGCAATAACAGCATGACCATGCTTGGGCAAGACGAACAAGCTGTTCTGCCTCATCGCCGACGTGTATCAGTACTGACCAGGGCCAAGCTCGTTTTCCAGCGTTTTCAGCAGAAGGGTTATTTTCACAAGAAACAACTGATAATGTAGTAGTAAAAGAAACGAATTGCAGGAGCGATGCTCACCAATTTTGTGTGTTTTGTGCCAAGCGTGCTGCTGTTGCTGAGCCGGAGACCGAACGGGCTCACCATTGTTTTTGTTGTTGTTGATATTGTCTGTATCACAGTGCAAGCGGTTGCATTTTGGGCGCTACCGGTAAGACACCTGTAGCTCACTTCGACGAGGCATATATCGAAATTTTTCCTATTTGAAAAATTCGCGTTTTGCATGAAGTTAGCCACTCAGGAAAAGCAACCACTGTTGAACTCAAGGAGTTTGTGTTGTTAAAGAGGATCACAATTTATTAGAACTTTCAACTGTAAACCGGTGACTTTCACAAAAAAGACTCCTCTACAGTTTCGCCGGATAGAATTTGGTCTCTCTGGCGGAATATTGGGAGATAGCACTAAATACCCTAGTTCAACCGTGCATCACTTCTTTTGGCCGAAAATTAAACTTTTTTTAACCAGCAGATCTATAAATCACACAAAAAGCCGTGCAATATATCTGCCATAGTATCACAAAGGCGACGAATGAGCGAGAACAAGTTTCCTGGAGTTATCTTCGAAATTCTCAGCAGTCTGGCTCAATAAGTAAACATGGCAAAGACGAACTAAAGAAGAGTATGCGACTCCGCAACCTAGTATTGTTGCTTTCGATACTGTTGCGCACTGGTTCGAGCATTTCACACCGATCACCAGCGCAATTTCTGTAATAGAAAAATATGCTAATAGGGGATGAAATAAGAAGGAATGTAGAAAATGAGAATTAGGAAATTAGAAAATTTGCAAAATTATTGTAATTGGTAAGAAATGTTTGGGTCCATTAAGCTGTATAAATTTCTTTTTCGGGATATCAGTGAATCCCTGTAAGTCATTTTCCAGGATATCAGCGAATCTCTCAACAAATTCGCCTATTCACTGCCTCTGTGCCTGATAATGATATCGGCAGGTTGGTGGCAAAATTTTGTACATATTGACAGTGCTCTGCCACCGATCCGGACGTTTGCCCGTTTCGCTGTCAAACTAAGCGAACGGCGTTCCAAGACCTACGTATTTATATCAATGTGGAAATGCATTGTCTACTTGCTCATGGTTTTCCTGGTGCTTACCAGTAAGTAAGTGAAGCTTCATACGCTTACGAAAAATACGAACTTTCTAAATGAGCGCTGATTGACAAATAGTAACTCGACAGTTAATATTTACCACTGAAGCTAATAAAATCATTGAATCTGGCCAGTGGTTCAGCTCTCCATCAGCAATGCCTTCGTCCTGTTCTAGTTCGATCTTGCTACATACTTGTTGGCATTCAAATGGATCCTTCCATTTTGATGGCAGCAACTTCAGTACTTTGCTTAATTCCCATTTGGCAACAAATTTTTTCGATCAAATGCATATCATTCTTGTCACACAAGCAGTTCGGTATGAGAAAATACAGTTTGCAGTTATTATGTATGGGAAAATCAAACAGAAAGTTTAAGCAGATATTTCCCGGAAGAGGCAGTGAAGGAAATCGAGAGCTTCAAAATTGGAAAAAGTGGCAGATTAAGCAAACGCCTATGCAAAGGAGAGCAATGAGTCTGGAAAATGATCAAGATTGTTCTATGAGTCATGAAGCGTTGTGGTCTTAGGACTGGGCTGCAGTAACTTCGGGAGATAAGAGTAACTGGCAGTAGCTAGTACCCCGCGCGTAACTCCAA